ATTGAAAAGCCAATTTAAATCTTATTAAGATAACAAAATTTCACTCATCAAACATAAAAAAAAAAAAAACTGAATCTAGCCTACTTAAAATATGATCAACCTCGCCTTCAATCCACAACGGGGGAGTAATATAACTAATGGAAGTTCCTTTGAAGTGTGGCTCAATCCTTCCATCTTCCATCCTATAAATTCCCATGTCCATCATCGTCATCTCCAACTTCTCTTCCTCATCCATACCCAGATAACTTTCCAAGCAATCATCAGTAAAATAAATCGAATTACGGTTGTATCCCATAACTTCTGATGCTTTAACTGAAAATGAAGAATTATCACCCACAAAAACTGTGTTATTACCTAAGTTCTTCATCTCTTCGCATGTATTACTCTCAAAATTTACTTCAAAAACACGGAATCCATGAGTTCCATAGCAACAAATTTCACTCCCTTCATAAATAAGTCGTGCATGCACGCCTTCTCGGGTAATTGCTAAGAGAGATCATTCTGATTCAACCAAATATATTTTCTCAAACAGCATCATTGACGATGGCAAAGTTGCTACTACTTGTGGCTCAGTCGGATTGTCACCTTCAGTATCACATGACATTATTCTACCATGACAATTTACCCCATAAAACTTCCCTTTGAAATAAGTAACATCGAAATAGCAAGCACTCGCACCATAACCTTAATAACCATAGAAATAAAATGGAGACGTAGCTTTGGACAAAGGTGTTTCAATTGTGGTCCAAGCTTTATCACCCGCTTTACAATATGCCAATTTTCCCATCTCTCCATGAATAACCATCGCTGTATAATCTGATGTGCATGAAGGACTACACGATAAAGCAAATTTTTGGATAAACGTCTTATAGACGTTATCCAAATTTGGAGTAAAACTATCCCATTCCCAGTCTTTGAAAGTCTTCAATGGAGGTAATTCAATTTGAAGATAGGTAAAGGGATGCAAAAGAGTCACGTTCCAATCCTGTCCAATTGTTAAAAGCCAACCACGGGAAGAATAACACTTCTTATCATAAGCTTGTGGTAAATTGAACTGTTGAAAAATACCTGTTGAGAGATTGTAAAATCCCCAGTGGTGAGAAGTGAGATTCGCTTGCGCCGCTGTTGTTTGTTTCTTGAGCAAGCATAAGCCATGTTTGCTTCTTGAGCAAGCATAATGTTGGAGGAGCCATGAAAATAGAAAAAGAAGGCAAAGAAATAGAAGAAGCAACGAGTGAATACAAATCTAAAATAAAGCCTACTTATATAGGCAATGTTAGATTAGATTACTAACCTGAAAAGAATTTGATCTCCTATATTTACAGGACTTCATTCTCCTTTTCCAATTAAACTTTCCCACTTCTTCTTTTCCGATTAAATTAAAAATCCTGGTCAGATCAGGATTATCGAAGGAAACAAAATCTCAATCGGTATCTTTTTCTTTCTTTTTTTAACTGAACAGGTAAATAAATCCCATTTAGGATTATAAACAACGTTATACGTGATATGACTAAAAGTTTACTCAATTTTCGCATAAACTAAACACTATTTAGTCCATAACATTCTTAAATAAGTGTACTTAAATCATAGATCAACTACAAGAATAGCATAAAACACCCCAACATTATCCACAAATAATATCTAACAACTACGACATGCTCTGCATTATCCAGAGTAATCTTCTGGTCTGCAGAAATAATGTAGGGTTCCATAATTAATCTGGTATCTTAAAAAAACACATTGCAGCAGTGCAGCACTATTTGAAAATACAGATCAACTTCACTATCAACGGTAAAGGTAGCCCGGAAATAGTTTAATTAACTACGCTTTTCTCTTGCATCATATTCCAATAATTCATGAGTCATGTTAAGAGTAATTGTTAGTGACAGACTCATAATGTCTTTCCCTTCTGATATTTGGGTTCCAATGCCTAATCTTCTCTTCAGGTAACTGTTTAAAGGGAACCACTGATTAACATGAAATTGTAGTGGGGTTTGAAAAAGAAAACAGAATGAAGCTCATATTGCATCAGAACCCACCTTTATCTCATTGTACGTCCTGGAGGTCTACTGAAAAATAGTACCACCGAATAGGCCATTAAAAATTATTCTGGCTATTAGTTCTCACACTTTCGGAATTTTGGGTAACCAATTCACTACACAACTCAAAAGTTTTGCAAATATTGGATTTTACTACTTTTAATTGCAACTCAACATCACAGGCCATTATGGAAATTTAAATAAATCACCCAGTCTCAAGTTTGGAACCCGACTGCTTAACATTACAATAGCGTACGTCAAGCTGGCTTGCAGTAATGGGTACTGCAGCAGCCTCACCAGTTTCATTCGCCTGCTGCCTCATCTCCTACAAGAATCACCATGATAACAGCTAGTATCGATTAGCAGACTTGGGGCTGTTAGTCTTACACTTGATGTTCACATTAAAATTTTCCAACCAATCATAGTCAATTTCAACACTCCAAACCATTCCAGAATTGGAATAATTGATGGTAATCTCCAAGTTTCTCACAGTGAAATGGTATCAATGTTTTTGAAAGAATATAATTACAAAAAGTTGGAACTTAATGTTTTCCAAATGAATATAAAGAATCAGAATAAATATCGGTTTCATGATTTTGCAACCACAGTCCAGTTTTTCTTAAATCCATTCCAAACAACGTCTGGCATTAACAATATGCACAGCTGCTTTATCAGGTCAGGTTCACATCTGCTCAACTTAATAAATAGAATTATGTCATAAGCTAGCTCAAAAATACCTTTCTTATTTGGACATACTGAACATGAAGCTTTGCTGACGTAGATTCTGATAGACGAGGGTGGCGTTCAACACTAAAGTATTGTATATACCTGACAAAATTGCAACTCAAACAGTTGAGCATATCATAAATATTTGAATAGCAGCTCTTTGAAGAACATATGCCTGAGTTGCATAATAAAAATTCTGTTAACTGCTAGAATTTTCCAGATGGTGTGAGTTTGTGATCTTCTCAGTGTCAGTACCTGTTATATTGTTTAATCTATTGTTTCCCCTTTGCTTGTTGGAAATTATTTTCTAATTGGTTAATAAATCCTGAGTTAATAATCAGTTCCCTGATACCAAATTTTCTTATTTTCAAACCAGCAAGAATTTTATCTTGAAGGAGGAGCCATGGTTTTGGCTGATGAATTTGACAGAATGATGAAAGGATAGGTAATTCAAAGTAGAATCAGATTTCTCCATCTCATGATTATGGTTCTTTAACAGTGTTTGCTTAGGGTGGCTATTCATGAAGCCATGGAGCAGCGGACGATATCCATTGCAGAAGCAGGAATAACAGTGAACCATCATCAATCAACCTTCTAACAAATTAATGGAGTTTCTTTAACACTATCCATAAGTCTAGTCTAGCACATTGGGCCTTCAAGCCCATACATACTGTGGCAGGCCTTAAGTGGCCCAATTGGTACATAAACCCACATTACTTCCATATAACATCCGATAAATCTAGGGGTATGTTTGTCACTTTCTGAAACCCTTTAATTGGTTTTGTAATTTTCCTTGTCCAAGAGTCTTTGGTTTTTGAATTGAAAAGACAGCCTAAAGCCCTAAACGTGTAGATTGTTCACATCATTCTTAGTGATATCCTCATGGGAAACATATCCTACTTAATACCATACCCCACAAATAGTCAAAAATTACATCTTCTTCCCAACCTTTCGGTTGTGAATTTTAATGATTTGATAACCACCAATGACGAATCGACACGTATTTGAATTTGTATCAAATGGGTCGTACTTATAATGGCGGTGGTCTATATTGCAAAAAGTCATAGGAATCTAAGATGAATATTCTCCTTTCATTAGAAAATTCTTTCAGTCTTTTTATCCCTTTTCACTTTAGTCAAGCAAACTTGTCCCACATTCAAGTTGATCACATAATCTAACTTTGCTTAGTTGGTTAATTATAGTTTAAAATAGACTTGACTTTTGACCATAATATTGGATGCTTCTACAAAACACTTTCTTTAATTAACTTTTTCCTCATCAACTTCCTTGTAGTTTCCACTTTATCCAAATTTTAAAGATTTAATAAACAAATCACAAACTTGAAAGTTACCATTATTAAGTAACAAATTCTACTTAGACCAACTTGGCTACCATTAAAAATTAAATTAAATAACAAACACCTATAGCTATGCCTTGATTTATGGCTCTTTATATTATACTATTATATATTATGTTGAGTAAAATAAATGGTGATAACAACAATGTAAGTGGTAGGACAAACGTTGAGATATGAAGTTAAACCACATAATCTCAAATTTGAATCTTCCTAACAATCGAGATTATTTGAGGTATGTAAGTTGATTGGAACATTTTGTTTCAAAATAAATAAATTATATGGGTATTTGTTTGTGTGTGTTTTTAAGGTAGGTTTGTAGAAATTGATTAGATTAATTAATGTTTAATCCTTATCGTGGGTTTCAACTTGTCCCAAACTCCCAACAAAGTCACACCATTTCATAATTAATCCATCAATTATGTATTCAGAAAATCAGTCACTAAAGATTTCACATAAACTTATTATGAAAGATGATTTAAATCACCTATTAGGACGTAATTCAGATAATTAAGACGAATTAAGGATAGTGTAGATATACACACGATCTTAGATAAAATTTTTCATTTGAATATCCACAATTTACGTGGTGGTGGAATGCAGGATTAGTCTCTTTCAAGGATTATTATGGTGCACGTAAATTAATCTGGATAGCTTAGTTACAAGAAAAATAAAAATAAAAAGATGATTTAAAACATAACGTTACGGTGTTTACATTGTGACATGTTTGACGTTAATAATATCAATAAAAGAAATATTATAAATAATAAAAAAAAATTGAAAAATCCCAATCATAAAAAGTTGAAGTTGAAATAACACAAAAAGAATGTCACATTGCATGAAACGCTCCACGTGCCATCACCCCTTCACTTACACTGTCTCCTCTTTCCTTAAGAACTAAGAAAAAACACAACACAAACAAATACGAATACAAATTTTAACAACACCATTTCTTAGTTCAACCTTCCCCTACAAAATCCAAACCTTTTATTAAAAATTAATAATCAGAGAGAGAATCTAGTGAGTGAGAGAGGGAGGGAGAGAGAAACAGAGAGAGACTTGAGCTCAGATTCTGAATTAAATAGGTCCTGAATCAAAAGCTAGCGCCAGCTTCTTTCACCGACTCAATCTATCTCTTCTCTCTCTCTCTGTCTCTGTCAATATCAGGTATCCATCTCTTTGATCACTCTCTTTTTGTTCCGGTTTTGTGGAAAAATAAAATAAAAGAAGAACCCTTTTTTTTGTTCTTTTTGGATAATTAAACCCTTTTTTTGTTGTCTCTGGTTTTGTTTAATCTTATTAGGGTTTTATCAGTTTTCAGATTATTTAGTCGTTTCTACACCATTTTTTGCTCTTTAATTTAAAAGTAACCTATTCTCAGAAGTGAAAGGTTCCAGCTTTATACTGATTTAGTGACGTTTGAATATAAATCCCATTTTGTAGATATGGCATTTGATCAAAATTCAATACCAAAAGATCTAAGACCGTTAAATATAGCCAGAAGTGTACCTGAAGAGCCCCGCATTGCGGTCGTATCAACTGCCAATCAAGGGTTTTATCCTAACCCGGTTCGTGAGCCTGGTAGCCCTAGGTCTATACCTGTTTTTTATCCGGCACCTGTTGCTGATGCCGGGTTTGTAGGTTTAGGGTACAGCAATGCGGTGGCAGCTGCGCCAGGTGTGGCCCCCACCGTTTGGGGTTCACGTATGCCCATGGCAGTGCCGGTTGGGCATGCGGGTGTTAATCCGGTTGTTGGGTACGCATATAATCCCAATTTGGGGAGTAGGGTTGTTGGGAATGCTGTTGATCAGGCTAGTAGTGAAATGAGGGCTGGGTTTGGTTATAGTCATAATTTGGGGAGTAGGGTTGTTAGTGGTGGTAGTGGTAGTGATCAGGTGAATAACAATGATTTAGCTACGGGTTGTGGTGTAATTCCTAATTTTGGGAATAGGGGTAGTGGTAATGGGATGGATCAGGTTAGTGATGAGGGTGGGGATGATTCAGTATCCGGGAAGAAAGTTAAGTTTTTGTGTAGTTTTGGAGGCAAGATTTTACCTAGACCAAGTGATGGTATGTTGAGATATGTTGGAGGGCAAACAAGGATTATTAGTGTGAGGAGAGACGTGGACTTTAATGAGCTAGTGCAAAAGATGGTGGATACTTATGGGCAACCTGTAGTTATCAAGTACCAGCTTCCTGATGAGGATCTTGATGCATTGGTGTCAGTTTCGTGCCCTGATGATCTAGATAATATGATGGATGAGTATGAAAAGTTGGTTGAAAGGTCTTCAGATGGGTCAGCTAAATTAAGGGTGTTTTTGTTTTCGGCTTCGGAGCTCGATCCTTCTGGGATGGTGCAACTTGGGGATATACCTGACACTGGGCAGCGATATGTTGAGGCAGTGAATGGGATACCAGATGTAGGTGCTGGTGGTATCATGAGGAAGGAGAGTATAGCTAGTCAGAGTTCAACACAGAATTCTGATTTTAGTGGGACTGAGGCTATCGATGGTGTATGTTATGGTCAAGTGGATGGTAGTGGGCCTCCATCAAGCAGCATATTATCACCAAGAGAGAATTCTGGCGCTTCTCATGAAATAGCTCCAAAAATTGTGGGTGTGGATCCTAGTACTGCATTTTATGCAGATGCTTCGCCTGTTTCATTAGGCATTCCGATTGTTAGGTCCAGCCCTCCTCAGACTTTATCTTCTCAGCCTGAGGTTGATTCAGAGAGGGCAGCAGCCTTTGCCGTACAGCAGCAACAAATGGGGGTTGATCTGCATCAACCTGGGGGGGATATTCCTCCAGCTGGGACATATGTGCAGGCTTATTTGGATCCTCGCCAAGAGGTTATAGGCCGTCCTGACTATATACATCTTCCTCCACAGATGGCATTCGCAAATCCTCAACTGTTGGGGCATGCCGCACCTATACTTAATCAACAGCAGCCTTGTGATAATGCACCTGGCCTCCCTTCTCAGCAGTTTATTCCCATGGGGCACATGACAATGGGTCCAACATCATCTTATGTTGGTATAAGACCAACTATGATTCAGCCCTTAATGCAACCACAACAAACTCGGTTGGAGCGTTATTCTGATGAGAGTACATTGGGGACGAGGCTTGTTCAGCTACCTGTTGATCAGAACTACAATGTGTACCAGGGCCAGGTTCCCCCCGCCATTGTTGGAGGAGCTTATGGTTGGCCTCAAGTTTCTCCAACAGAGCATGTTGTCTTCTCTGATGGATCATTGTCTCATCAACATGTAATTATTCCTCAGAAAATCCCCAAGTTGGATGACTGTCATATGTGCCAAAAAGCATTGCCTCATGCACATTCAGATCCTACGGAACGAGACAGTGTGACAAGCCCTGTAACTGATTCGAATTCAATTTATCATAGTCTTCGCATAGAAGATGCAATGGGAACTCGACCAGTAAACAGGGTTATGGTAACTGGAGCCTTGGGCGAAGGTGTTGTTGAACAGGGAACTGTGCCTCAAACAACAGTCTTCAGTCATATTGATCATCAGGTTGGAGCACCTCAGTCAGAGGCTGTTGGGCTCGCTCAGAATGTTGAGGCTCTGCGTGAAAAAGAGCAAATCCTCCAGAGAATAGACCATTCCGACCTTCCTAGGATTGCAGTAACCCATGGTGGGATTGGGGTGGCAGGTGATGTACAACCATCTTACGGTGTGTTCGCAGGTGCTGCAGCTGTTCCTCTGTCTTGCCAAGAAGAACTTTCATTGCCACCAAACTACCAGGTCAAACAAGAAGCCTTACTCAACAAACCTGTTAACAGTGATGCCCCTCTTGTGGGCCTCGTACATGTAAAATCTTCAGAACACCTGACTCATGAATCTCCAAAAGAATATTCCAGCAAACTTCCTGTTGTCTCTAAAGAAGATACCATAAACCCTTGCACATCATATGAACATATGAGGCTGATTGATGGGATGATGGAATCTCTCTGGGTATGCCCCACTGATAATATAAAGAATGAACAGAATAATTTACCTGTTGATAAAATTAGAAAGGATGATATCTTGGAGTGCAGACCTCAGCAAAGAGTGGGAAGGGAGCAGCTTGTAGATAACACCTTTAGCCAACCCCCATTAGTTCTTGACACAAATCAGAATAAAACGACTGAAGTGCTGCCTTCTTCCAGTGCAGAAGTTCCATACATGAATAATCCTCAACCCATGGAATCCTATGAGGTAGCACAACCTCCCATTACCGGTAATCCTGGATTATATCAACAGTCAAACGGTGGAACTCATCACGTGGATTCTGGTGAAGTTCGATATGGCAACCCTGCATTCTCTGCTGCTGAACCAGTTCATTTGGTTGGTAGAATTCCAACTGCTGCTGATTATGAAGCCATCCCTGGAAATGTTAATACATCATCTCTATCACCATCAAGCAGGGTTTGGGATTTTCAGGATTCCTCAAACTCACTGTTTAGCAATCAGGATCCTTGGAATTTACAACAAGATACTCATGTTCTTCCTCCTAGACCTAACAAGATCGCAACAAAAAGGGAAGCCTTTCTTCCTGTGGATCCTTTCAGTGAGAACCGTTTGGGCAAGAGTGCTGAATTAATTACAGATGCCCAATTTGAGGATGCAGTTCAGCAGCCTCTGAATGATGCAACCAAGGATTTCAATTCAGAGCATACAATCTCAAAAAAAGGTTGGAAATTTGTGGTTGGATGGTTTCATCTGCTTGTTAATAACATAGTTTTATATCTCTTAATGTCTGTTGAGTGGTTATTTATTGTTTTCTATATCATTTTAAAGGATCATCTGAGGAACTCATCAAGCAAGAGCTTCAGGCTGTTGCTGAGGGTGTAGCTGCTTCTGTTTTTCAGTCAGCTACAAATTCTAATCCTGATTCAGTGGTACATGAGAAAGATGAGTCTGCTTACGAAAGCAATCAAGAGAGAGGAGTTCAGGATAGTGATATAGAAATGAAGCACAAAGCCAAACTTGAGGTGCTCAGTTTAATTTTTCACACCCCATGTGTGTGCCTTGTGCTTGTGACTTCCTTAGTGTTTCTGCTTGTTTAATTTTTATGTTGCCTTTTGCTGATTAATTATGTTAATGTTTGCCAAACGGTCTTTTCCTTTTGTTCTTTCAACTCAGGGTATGAAGAATAAAGTGCCAGAGAAGTTGAATTTTGGTTTTCCTGCTTCTGATGTTGGTCGCTTGCAGGTTGAAGACTTGTCTTCATTTGATTTCTCTTTTTCTATGGTTTTCTACTTTTATCAGCCTTTTCATTTCAGCTATATATTTTACTTGGCAGATTATAAAGAATAGTGACCTTGAGGAGCTGCGGGAACTGGGTTCTGGAACCTTTGGCACGGTTTACCATGGGAAGTGGAGAGGTACTGATGTCGCAATTAAACGAATCAATGACAGATGTTTTGCTGGAAAACCTTCAGAACAAGAGCGCATGGTTTGTGTCTTTTCATTTGGCATTAAAATCTCCAATTTTAATTATTTTACATCCAGTTAATGATATTTCTTGCTAAAATTTTGTCTGCATTTAATCAGATTGATGACTTCTGGAATGAGGCCAGTAAGCTCGCTGATTTGCACCATCCAAATGTGGTGGCTTTCTATGGTGTTGTGCTTGACGGCCCTGGACGCTCTGTAGCAACAGTAACAGAGTATATGGTTAATGGTTCTCTAAGAAATGCTTTGCAAAAGAATGAGAGGTATGAATTTGTTTTGGTTTTCTTCTGTTTTCTTAGTATACGTTCACTTCTTCTTGGTAAGGTTATCTGGTTGTAAGCTTTTTTTTCATAGTGAATAATGAACTGTTTCATAATTGCTTTTATCATACATCAGGAATCTTGATAAGCGTAAGCGTCTCTTGATTGCCATGGATGTGGCCTTTGGAATGGAGTACTTGCATGGAAAGAATATAGTACACTTTGATTTAAAAAGTGACAATTTACTGGTTAATCTTAGAGATCCTCACCGCCCAATATGCAAGGTTAGTAACTGGGGGCTGGGAGTTTATTTGCAATTCACTTTGTTGAAATTTGTGGAAGATCAACTGTTATACGTATAATTTTCTATTAGGAAACCAATTTTTTAAATTTGATTCATTCTTGTTGGAAACATGTATTTTCTAGACAACATGTTCATATTGGTTAAGGAGTTGGACACATCTTCTATGCACATAGAAGACTGAAATATTTGAAGTGGTTATGTCCCTAGTCAGTAACTGAATTCTGTCTGCAGCTCTTTAGGAGAAGTTTGAGAAATTAAGCTAATATTGGATTTGGTGTTGAATTGTTTACGGTATGTATATATTGTCAGTTGTCTGTGTGCAGGTTTGGGGGGTTATTCTGGATTTTATTCTGTTAATGGATTTAACTTGTGGTGCAAAAATGAATACTGAAGTTAGAGTTAGTGGTAGGTTTTGGGGTCATGTGTGTTTTAATTAAGTTTGGCTCAAGATAACACAACAGTTTCTAGTAACGTAGCCGCTAATAAGGCAGCCTCAATAGAAAGCTTGAAGGTGGAGATTTGTAGTCACTACTCATCAGCAGGGATAGACTATTATGAATGAAAAAAAAATAATCCAGTTTCCTCTCCATTCTCAGTTTTTCACTTGAGCGAAAATTTCTTCCATCATTAATGAAATCTTTCCCCAAGTAAAGTTTTAACAAAGGTTGCCATAAGAATCTCTGTATATAAACTTGAATTGGAAAAACTTATTCCTTTTCTCCCTTAAGCACTGTAGCTTTCAGGTCAAGCTAATGTAAATTCTGATGTTTTGGCTGGTTACAACCCAATTCAGTTGCACAGCCAATTAACCCAACTGAATCCTGCAAGTTGATAGAGAACCTTAACTTTCTCCGTTTTTCTCACATGGCTGTTGAGAGGTTCTCTTAGGTTTATTCTGTTGATTATACTGCTCTGTATTTCCAAACTGCCTGTAAAACATACTCTAATTGTTTCTGATTTTGCATTTTGAATATGAAAAAGATTTAGCTCTCAGTTGTTGTTCTGGTACTAGGTCGGCGATTTGGGTCTATCTAAGGTGAAATGTCAGACTCTGATCTCAGGGGGTGTTCGGGGAACACTTCCATGGATGGCGCCAGAGCTTCTGAATGGTAGCAGCAGCCTGGTCTCTGAAAAGGTTTGGACTCTTATATTTATTGTCTGAGATCATTCCTTAATGCGAAAATTTGTTATCCGGTCTCCTCAAAACTTAAAAGTCTATTTTTGCATGTCTTGTTATCTAGGTTGATGTGTTTTCATTTGGCATTGTGCTGTGGGAACTTCTCACCGGTGAAGAACCATATGCAGACTTGCACTATGGGGCAATTATTGGTAAACTTCTAACCTCAAATAATTTATTTTGTTTTTCATTGATGGGTACAGAACTTGTATTGCTGATCATTGACCTGAAATGCTAACCAGGTGGTATTGTGAGCAATACATTGCGGCCACCAGTGCCGGAATCTTGTGACCCAGAATGGAGATCTCTGATGGAGAGATGCTGGTCATCTGAGCCAGCAGAGAGACCAAACTTCACTGAGATTGCAAATGAATTGCGGTCAATGGCAGCCAAGATTCCTCTCAAGGGACAAAACCCCCACAGCAAGCCTCCTAGGCACAACCCCAAGTTGAAAAATAGTTCATGCTAGTTGCTGGCTTGCCAGTGGCTTTCCTACTTTTCTTTACCAGTTTGTTGAATTCTTTAAATCTTTGGCCATACGAAGGCATGCTATGTCTTCACCTTGAAATGTAACACAGAAATGGTTTTCTTTTTCACACTTTTTCCTGATACAAATTATAGGTCTTATACTTTGTGAAGTTACGTTTCCCTCTGTTTCAAATGAAAGAAAATGTCTCAAGATGCAAATTAGCCTTTTTTTGTGACATTCTTCAGTTTCTCACTTGAGCATAACATTGACTTGAACCTCCCAATTAGACCATCAATTATCTATAAAGATTACTCTCATTTTGAGATTAACAGCATGCAATCAAGATGGAAATGTAACCTTAATGAAACCAACTTTGCTCTTTTTCCTTGTGGGTGGTTTCAATTTTCCAAATGAATGGACCTAGTCAAAACCTTATCATTAGTTTCAGCTTTCAACGGTATGAACTCTTATCGAGAATTAAGATCCTTTTCTGATATTATTTTAACAGATAATATCAAGAGAAGATATTCTTACATGAAATCTGGAAATCTCGAAGCAATTTCTAATGTTTTAGATATTTTTTGCTTTGGTTTCTTATTTCTTGTTTGACCAAAACAAAATTTGGTATGTTTTGGTTCAGTTGTTCAAAAATACCGCGTGAAGTAGCGAATAAGAAAGCAAGTAAGCCGGCAAAATAATGGGTCAATGTCAATTTTCAGTGTGGAATTCGCTTACATCTATTTCGATATTTTGTTTCCAGAAAACGTTATGCAAAAACATACACGTTCTTATGATGTTTCCTCTTCTATTTCTCTTCAACCTCCAATAAAAAGCTCTTCTTTGTCAGTTCATTACATATTCTTCTTCTCATTTTGTCACGTATGGCTCTCTCTCAAGACAAATTGAGCTTCATCTCACCATTAAACCAGCAAGATCAAGGAGATGATGTTGATGACTACCATGAAAACAATGTTTCTTCACAAGGGTGTGATTGTTTTCTACTTTTCTGCTTCAAATGGCGGCAAAGCAACAATAGCAATCGGCTTTTGCACCAGAATGGAGAGGAGTACGGAGAGTCATGGCTGATAAAGAAGGCGAAGAAAGTTAAGGAAGTCTCTGAGGTATTTGCAGGGCCTAAATGGAAGACTTTCATTAGAAAAGTTGGTGGATATGTTAAGAGAAACAAGTACAAAAATACATTTCAATATGATCCTCAAAGCTATGCTCTCAATTTTGATAGTGGTGTTGATATGGAAGATAAAGGTCTTGTTTCATGATTTGTTAGTGTTGTTCATACATGATTCTTTCATTGTTGATACTGTTTCATTTTTATGAAAATGAAGTTGATTCCCATATTTGGTTTTCTTTATTACTCCCTGACTTAACTGCACATGCTTATCATTTTAGCACCAATTGGGACTAAATATTGTGGTCATGATTCATAAAAATAAAGGTTTGGATTAGCCGTTGTGGCAATTCCACCAAATGTGGTAATCCTCCAATGCCAAGCGTTTTAAGTTTAAGCCTTGTCCTACTGTGATCTTGGCGAACTTCGTCTCCTTCCAAATCCATTTCTGAATGCAGATTCAGGTTTTCACAATCACTAATTATCAATGTGCGAAGAAATTGAAGCAACCAATATCTTCAAACAAATATTCTAAGTTGTCACAAAAACCAAAGAGAATTCAAGCACCCAACTCCAGTCTCTTGCAGAGACTTCTGTTTGGTGGTTAACACAAACATCTCTAGGCAACTCCTTCAATGACTGACATCCATAAGTCTTAAATGTTGATCATAACTTAGTCTAAGTGCAGGTAAAATGACATATTCCTTCTGCTCTAATTTCCAAATCTCACTATCCTTCAAGTATTTCCAGTCTTATTCATCACCTGAGGCATAAAGTTGACTTCCTAATGTTCTTACAGCTAAAGGAATTCCCCCACAATTTTTCACTATTTCTTCTGCAATTTTTTATAAGGTCTGGATGTTGCTCTTGTCCTTCCTTAAATGCACATTTGATGAACAAACACAAGCAAATCTCATAGGGAAGACCTTTTAAGTTGTACCCATTAGCATCTCTCATTGTGCTCATAATTGAGGCAACTCGATTGCTGTGCGTAGTTACAATAATTTTACTTCCATATGCTCCTCCCATTAACAACGTTTTCAGTTCCATCCATTTTTCTGGAATCTGGTTCCATACATCATCAAATATCAGTAAATACTTCCTCTCAAATTCTGCTGCAATATTGTTTGCAACTGGTCTACATCCAACTTGCTATAGTTTCTATTAGTTGCAGACTTAATAATCTTCACCATCAATTGTTTCAAATTGAATTCCTCCGAGACACAAACCCACATTTTCATCTCAAAATGCTTATCCACCCTATCATCATTGTACACCATTTTCGCAAGTGTGGTTTTTCCAAGCCCTCCTATTCCCACAATGGGAATTATGGACACAATTTCGCCATTACTCGAATCTATCAATAATTTCACAATCTCTTCTTTATCTTTATCTCTACCAATAACATCTGACACAAGCACAAAGGAGTGAGTCATTTCCCTCCCTCTATTCACAACAGGCCTATTTTCATCTCAGTGGATGAGATGAAATTTAGCCTTAACAGCTGCAATCTCATCAAACTTGTTTCTAATTTCTTTCATTTTATGGCTCATCCTGAAACGAAAAGCTAGTGAATTTGAGCATGAAATAAAGTTGCATACCTTTCTTCCAATGACTTATCTTTGTAAAGCTTCAATCTCGAACTCGTCCAACACATCTTCTGCATCAGAACAAGCATCAGTAAGCTTTTCCAGCCGACCTCTTAACTGGTGACTCAACTTGTTTTTCATCTGCATCCAAAATCAGAGCTTTGACAGAAGTGTCCTCAAGTTTTTTCAGGTCATCTCTGACACCCCATACTGATGAAATTTCTTGATATACAAAGCTCCCTAACTTGCTCAAGACCTTATCAACAATGCTAAAATAAAATGATTCTGAAATTCAAGAAAGAGGGTTGTGTTTGTTTTTGGACTATTTAGTATATACTTCTAAGATATTCAGTAATAAGGTGTACCAGTTTCATTAGTCAACAGCAATATCTTCAACTTCAACTAACTTTTGGATTGCTTGTTATTTTGTTGACTCTGTAAATAATTCCTTATTGCTCAACTTGTTTGGTGAATGTTCAGACTGGCAGAAGAGATAGCAACTTGAGGCAATTGTCTTAAGATTCCAAGTCCTCCCCTTGAATTTAAGTTTCCATTGAATCACATCATATTTTCCAGACTACTCTACTGCTGTTTGATTGCAGAAGTCACTTTTATCAATATCAACCCACAGATTCACGAAATTTTACAAGTGGAGTTTGGAGGTTTAGTGTCATCCAAATTTTCAGGAAATTATAGAAGTTAAAACATGATGTAATAGCAATATCATAACCTAAGCTGATGAAGAAAAATATCAAGAGTTTTTGAATTTTCAATGTCATTGTCTTCAATGAGCATTCAGCTTTGCATTGGAGTATTTAGTTCAGCCCAGTTGAGCAGCTATCCAGGAGAAAAACAGCTAAGAATTGAGAAAAGGATAGACTACATATAGAACTCAAGTTAAAATGCATTCTTATTCACAGATATAAAACCATAAAGCAAAGTTTTCTCAAATTACAGGGACCATGATCAAGAAAAGCCATCCAGAAGAATTTTGTTCTAATCTCATAATGCTTGAAATTTGATCCTCTAAAATGATAAAGCGTTACAGAGGTCTTCAAGCATATCTATACATGATAGGAATTAATCAGCGTTTGAGTCGAATGCTATTGTAAGTATAAAAAGGCAGCCTTGTTTAGTTGAATGATTAAGGTTTCATGTATGAGTAAAGCAGATATATGCTAACAGTCTTCATAAGTTTCCCTTCCAGTTGCATTGTGCCCCTAACAAGTGATCTGATGTTGCTTCCCACCAAGAAGTAGACATGAAGTGAAACCTGGTAGTGATGCTTCAATCCTTCCTTTACACGAAATTTTCACTGCTAGACTTACCTGCATTACTTCTTTCCCAAAGTACAGTTGGAAGATGTACAAAATTTAGATTCGATACAAGAAACACTTGAGATCAACTAATAGCCTACCTCTTGCGTTTGGTCTTCGAAGAAGTAGAAGATGAAGGATTACTATGCCAATTCCTTTTTCTTTGGTTTATAAACCAGTTATTTATCTGCTTTAAATGCAAGCCAGTTTCCTGCACCAATTTTGCTTTGTCTTCCTCCTGCAAAAATAAGTAGTTCCAAACAGGAGTTTTAGAAGCTGTTGAAATGAACTGATGGCTATATAAGAGTTGTATATACTTACAGTTGGGTATGGCCACTTAGCATGTGACTGCCACCAAGCTTTTAAGAGTGAGGTGGTGTCACCTGGCAGTTTCCCAGCTCTTCTCTTTCGCAGAATTTCTTCTCTGATGTCCACAATCTTCTCCTTATAACCCTGAAAAAAAAGAAATCGGATCAGTTGCACCATCAAGTAGTACACCAAAATAATTTATGCATCTTACCTGTTTCAACTCATGCTTCAGTTCTAGCCGAACACGCTCCATCAACGATCTCTCAGTTTCAGTTGGAACAAGAGGACCAAATCCCATGCTATCAGTCCCATCCAGACTTCCATCATATAAGTTTAAGTCACTATCTGCCTGGTCTTCATCATCATCCGACATGGTTGCACCTGTGCCTTCACCCGGGGATACACCTGTTTGTGCACCAAGGTTTAGTATCAAGTTGAGAACTCTGATCTGAATCTAATCTGAGGTGAGAGTGAAGAGATAAAGAGATTCAAATGAAAGAGAGCAGAGTAAGATTGAGTATAATTTTCATTACTCAATGGGCTGCTATCTGCAGCCAAGCTAACAGAGGGTGTCCTACAGTTTCTCTGAGCTATAATTTCAGGTTTTACCAGTTAAGGAAGACACTTATATAAGATGTCAAAGACAACTACAGCAAGAAAATCAATCTCTATAACATGCAGGAAAACCAATTGATAGTTCATAAGAGAGTCCATAAGCCGATAAGCACCACATCAACTTGCCATCATATCATATTAATTGAAATTTCTGATTCTCCATATAATATACATAATTGTTTAAAGTTGAAACAAAAGAATTCCACTAAACAGAAAACTGATTTTTTTTTTCTTCTTTTTGCTAGGAAACAACAGAAACTGATCTGATAAGTAAATTGCTAGTCTACAGCAAGTTCTCAGAATTCCTTTGATGTTACAAGGCCCTTAACCGGATAGAAGGAGGCTAAATGAAAGTTGGTAATATCAAATATTGTCTTATCCTCTTTTTGTTAGACTTATAGAAGCAAAATGACATTTTTGTTTAATAAACATATTTGAGATCTGATATATATTGCACATAAAGAAGCACCAGAGTAAAGTAATACCTGTTAAGCTTTGCAAAGCTTGCTCAAGCTCCCAACAAGCCATTACTGCTTCCATTGCATGGACACGGACATGTTGTTGCAATTGGTCTTTAAAGGAATAGAGCAACAGAACATAATGTGTCTACATCAGAAAGAACAAAGAAATGCAAGAGGAAAAAAAAGTTATTCAGATGATGAAAAAGCACATAATGTGTCTACAGACGATATGTGTATGTCAAAAGAACCGTAAATAATGCGAAATGTCATAATTTATCACATCACAAGAGAAAAATTCCTAACCATAACTTCAGAGTTTTTATGTCTAATGATTGATATAGAAGGGAAAATACTCATCCAAAACACATTCACTATTTCTTCTGCAATTTTTTATAAGGTCTGGATGTTGCTCTTGTCCTTCCTTAAATGCACATTTGATGAACAAACACAAGCAAATCTCATAGGGAAGACCTTTTAAGTTGTACCCATTAGCATCTCTCATTGTGCTCATAATTGAGGCAACTCGATTGCTGTGCGTAGTTACAATAATTTTACTTCCATATGCTCCTCCCATTAACAACGTTTTCAGTTCCATCCATTTTTCTGGAATCTGGTTCCATACATCATCAAATATCAGTAAATACTTCCTCTCAAATTCTGCTGCAATATTGTTTGCAACTGGTCTACATCCAACTTGCTATAGTTTCTATTAGTTGCAGACTTAATAATCTTCACCATCAATTGTTTCAAATCGAATTCCTCCGAGACACAAACCCACATTTTCATCTCAAAATGCTTATCCACCCTTTCATCATTGTACACCATTTTCGCAAGTGTGGTTTTTCCAAGCCCTCCTATTCCCACAATGGGAATTATGGACACAATTTCGCCATTACTCGAATCTATCAATAATTTCACAATCTCTTCTTTATCTTTATCTCTACCAATAACATCTGACACAAGCACAAAGGAGTGAGTCATTTCCCTCCCTCTATTCACAACAGGCCTATTTTCATCTCAGTGGATGAGATGAAATTTAGCCTTAACAGCTGCAATCTCATCAAACTTGTTTCTAATTTCTTTCATTTTATGGCTCATCCTGAAACGAAAAGCTAGTGAATTTGAGCATGAAATAAAGTTGCATACCTTTCTTCCAATGACTTATCTTTGTAAAGCTTCAATCTCGAACTCGTCCAACACATCTTCTGCATCAGAACAAGCATCAGTAAGCTTTTCCAGCCGACCTCTTAACTGGTGACTCAACTTGTTTTTCATCTGCATCCAAAATCAGAGCTTTGACAGAAGTGTCCTCAAGTTTTTTCAGGTCATCTCTGACACCCCATACTGATGAAATTTCTTGACATACAAAGCTCCCTAACTTGCTCAAGACCTTATCAACAATGCTAAAATAAAATGATTCTGAAATTCAAGAAAGAGGGTTGTGTTTGTTTTTGGACTATTTAGTATATACTTCTAAGATATTCAGTAATAAGGTGTACCAGTTTCATTAGTCAACAGCAATATCTTCAACTTCAACTAACTTTTGGATTGCTTGTTATTTTGTTGACTCTGTAAATAATTCCTTATTGCTCAACTTGTTTGGTGAATGTTCAGACTGGCAGAAGAGATAGCAACTTGAGGCAATTGTCTTAAGATTCCAAGTCCTCCCCTTGAATTTAAGTTTCCATTGAATCACATCATATTTTCCAGACTACTCTACTGCTGTTTGATTGCAGAAGTCACTTTTATCAATATCAACCCACAGATTCACGAAATTTTACAAGTGGAGTTTGGAGGTTTAGTGTCATCCAAATTTTCAGGAAATTATAGAAGTTAAAACATGATGTAATAGCAATATCATAACCTAAGCTGATGAAGAAAAATATCAAGAGTTTTTGAATTTTCAATGTCATTGTCTTCAATGAGCATTCAGCTTTGCATTGGAGTATTTAGTTCAGCCCAGTTGAGCAGCTATCCAGGAGAAAAACAGCTAAGAATTGAGAAAAGGATAGACTACATATAGAACTCAAGTTAAAATGCATTCTTATTCACAGATATAAAACCATAAAGCAAAGTTTTCTCAAATTACAGGGACCATGATCAAGAAAAGCCATCCAGAAGAATTTTGTTCTAATCTCATAATGCTTGAAATTTGATCCTCTAAAATGATAAAGCGTTACAGAGGTCTTCAAGCATATCTATACATGATAGGAATTAATCAGCGTTTGAGTCGAATGCTATTGTAAGTATAAAAAGGCAGCCTTGTTTAGTTGAATGATTAAGGTTTCATGTATGAGTAAAGCAGATATATGCTAACAGTCTTCATAAGTTTCCCTTCCAGTTGCATTGTGCCCCTAACAAGTGATCTGATGTTGCTTCCCACCAAGAAGTAGACATGAAGTGAAACCTGGTAGTGATGCTTCAATCCTTCCTTTACACGAAATTTTCACTGCTAGACTTACCTGCATTACTTCTTTCCCAAAGTACAGTTGGAAGATGTACAAAATTTAGATTCGATACAAGAAACACTTGAGATCAACTAATAGCCTACCTCTTGCGTTTGGTCTTCGAAGAAGTAGAAGATGAAGGATTACTATGCCAATTCCTTTTTCTTTGGTTTATAAACCAGTTATTTATCTGCTTTAAATGCAAGCCAGTTTCCTGCACCAATTTTGCTTTGTCTTCCTCCTGCAAAAATAAGTAGTTCCAAACAGGAGTTTTAGAAGCTGTTGAAATGAACTGATGGCTATATAAGAGTTGTATATACTTACAGTTGGGTATGGCCACTTAGCATGTGACTGCCACCAAGCTTTTAAGAGTGAGGTGGTGTCACCTGGCAGTTTCCCAGCTCTTCTCTTTCGCAGAATTTCTTCTCTGATGTCCACAATCTTCTCCTTATAACCCTGAAAAAAAAGAAATCGGATCAGTTGCACCATCAAGTAGTACACCAAAATAATTTATGCATCTTACCTGTTTCAACTCATGCTTCAGTTCTAGCCGAACACGCTCCATCAACGATCTCTCAGTTTCAGTTGGAACAAGAGGACCAAATCCCATGCTATCAGTCCCATCCAGACTTCCATCATACAAGTTTAAGTCACTATCTGCCTGGTCTTCATCATCATCTGACATGGTCGCACCTGTGCCTTCACCCGGGGATACACCTGTTTGTGCACCAAGGTTTAGTATCAAGTTGAGAACTCTGATCTGAATCTAATCTGAGGTGAGAGTGAAGAGATAAAGAGATTCAAATGAAAGAGAGCAGAGTAAGATTGAGTATACTTTTCATTACTCAATGGGCTACTATCTGCGGCCAAGCTAAAGGAGGGTGTCCTATAGTTTCTCTGAGCTATAATTTCAGGTTTTACCAGTTAAGGAAGACACTTATACAAGATGTCAAAGACAACTACAGCAAGAAAATCAATCTCTATAACATGCAGGAAAATCAATTGATAGTTCATAAGAGAGTCCATAAGCCAATAAGCACTACATCAACTTGCTATCATATCATATTAATTGAAATTTCTGATTCTCCATATAATATACATAATTGTTTAAAGTTGAAACAAAAGAATTCCACTAAACAGAAAACTGATTTTTTTTTTCTTCTTTTTGCTAGGAAACAACAGAAACTGATCTGATAAGTAAATTGCTAGTCTACAGCAAGTTCTCAGAATTCCTTTGATGTTACAAGGCCCTTAACCGGATAGAAGGAGGCTAAATGAAAGTTGGTAATATCAAATATTGTCTTATCCTCTTTTTTTTAGACTTATAGAAGCAAAATGACATTTTTGTTTAATAAACATATTTGAGATCTGATATATATTGCACATAAAGAAGCACCAGAGTAAAGTAATACCTGTTAAGCTTTGCAAAGATTGCTCAAGCTCCCAACAAGCCATTACTGCTTCCATTGCATGGACACGGACATGTTGTTGCAATTGGTCTTTAAAGGAATAGAGCAACAGAACATAATGTGTCTACATCAGAAAGAACAAAGAAATGGAAGAGGAAAAAAAAGGTATTCAGATGAAAAAGAACATAATGTGTCTACAGACGATATGTCTATGTCAAAAGAACCGTAAATAAAGCGAAATGTCATAATTTATCACATCACAAGAGAAAAATTCCTAACCATAACCTGAGAGTTTTTATGTCTAATGCTTGATATAGATGGGAAAATACTCATCCAAAACACAAAATCTGCGACCTCTTTTATTAATCACTAATTGAAGTATATATAATAGTTGAGTCAAAAGGAAACAATGAACATAGACATGAAGAATCCAAAAAAGTGCATATAGCTTGATTCTCAAGCATGGAAAAAATTTAAGATTACTCAAGAGATATAAAAAGCTACCATTTCATAAATATTTTCTAATTCTGAAATAATCTTTTAAACTACAAATGAAGTTAAACATGAACAATGTCTGGAAGTCTTTGTATGCTTTGTATCAATCTCCTCTGCTCAGAAAAAATTTTGTCCTCAAATTTGAGCATATCAGGCCTTTTGATGTATAGTTTATGCAAAATTGATATTCAAGAAAAGTTCTACATTTTGGTTCCACATCACAGAGAAGGTTAAGATGTTACAACGAGAAAATAACTACCAATGACTAGACCATAATTGTCTAATTGCAAGCCACCATCAACAAAGGTCATATAGAGAGGACTACCAGGAGCAGATCGAGGATGACTTCAAATAGCGAAAAGGTTAAGGGTAGTTTAAAGAACGACTAACATATTCAATAAAGATAGGCAAAGTTCTTCCATTATATGCCATCACAAATCAGTTTTGTATTTTATCTATCGAAGTTTTAATTTAAATTTGATCCCAGAACCTTATCTTCAGCATGATAGCATCCATTCTCATCACAGAGAAGAAAGCATGGATGTTGATAGTTGGAAAAGATAAACTGGGCCATCAATATTCTAGTGTCACAATAACAACCAACACTTCTGCATTTGCAAAAGGCTAACTTATATTTTCACAAGCATTTAATTAACCAAGAAGCAAATTTTCAAACAAAAACAAAAGTTACACTTTAAATTACAGATTTACTTAAGGGTGAAAAACAATTCACAAAACAAGAGCATTGAAAACTTGTTGGTAGAGTGTGGAATAGAGTAATAGAAAAGCAGTCCTCTAGCACAGAGACTTGAAGTTGGTTCTGTGAAGCAAGCACAAATTCCACAACACGCAACAAAAGAGGAAGGACTAAGTATACTAACCCATCTATCAAGTGGAGTAATACGACAAGATGATCATCAACAAAGAGATTCTCTAAAGCACCCCCAAAAGCTCAATTATTAAGTGTACCCAATAGGATGATTCTTCCAATGATGCCATCACATACCACACAAAACACCCCACCTAAGTATCATCATCATCTTCTTCTTCATCATCATCATCATCATCCACTTAAAAAAAACTCACTACCCTTTTCACATCCCCCTTTAACATCACACATTAAGAAACTCTCAAGTCTCAAGTCTCAAACCTAACATGGGTTTCACACACCAACCTAGTAAACTAAAAAGGGTGTCTCACACTCTTCGTTATTTACCCTCTAAAAACCCCAAAACCCCCACCCCACCAAAAAAAAAAAAACAAAAATTAAAAATTCTAATTCATCTCACATTGAAAACCAACAAGAACATAATCAAGATGCATAAAAAAGCTAAAAACCAACATAAAAAAGAAAACTTTAAGATAATTAAAAGCTAACCATGAACTGATCGAGCTCCTTACTGTCAACCAAGTGTCCAACTCCGTTTCCAAGAGCTGAGTACTTAGCCATGACATCCTGAGACTGACCTAACTGAGCATCAATCCTTGGCAACTGATCAACAGGCGTGGCGATCCTTAAACAAGACACGTGTGCAGTCAAAAGTTGTTCATACAAAGGATGTCCTAATATCTCAGCTTTACATTTCACACTCTCCCAGTCCTCTCTAGAGTTGTTACTATCACTGTTGTTGTTGGGGGCTGAAACTGAACCCTGGTGGTGGTGGTGGTCAACGTCATCGTTTTGTTGCTGGAGAATCGCGTTGTTGAGCCACGTTGGTGGTGGTGGAGGAGGAGGATTGGCAGCAGTTAAAGCTGATGTTGGTGGTGTTGTTGAAGTAGTTGTATTTATGTGAAGAATGTCAAGTCTTTGTTGCATGTTGTCTTTGGTGTTAAAGGCCATTTCTGGGTCGTGAAAAGCCATTAGATTTGAGTGTAAAAGAAAGTGGTTTACATGCAACAAGAATGAAATGGAAGTTGTTGCTCTGAGACAGAGTTTGAAGAAGGAAAAAAAAAATGTTAGATAAAGATCAAATTTTGAAAGGAACGAGGTGGGTGAAAATGGGATCACACTTTGACTTATAGTGGGGGGTTTAATGGAGATATTATTATTGGAGGATGTGTTATACTAAAGACAAAAGCAGGTGGTATTACCTTTGTTTATACGTTATTTAATACGTCCAATTGTTTGATATTATACTGTATATGAACATTGTATTTCATAAGATATACGATGCCAATTACTCACCCTAGAAGATATACAAATATACAATAACTTATTTGTAGATTTCTTACCATGGTTATAATCGTCTAATATGTATATATGACAGATATATCAGACGATTATACGTGCATGCAGTTCATAATTGATAGTATAATACTATAATGTGACAACGTTATCTTTTTATTGAACATCACGGTCCACATATCTAAACTCGTCTTGTCATTAAACGATCGTATATGAACCCATCTCGGATAAGAATTTTTCCTTTTACCCTCTAATTTACCCAATACCCATTTACATTTAAATAATTTCATCTTTAACCACACATAAATTATGAAGTACAAATTTCTGTTATTGGTTAATATTTGCTTTGATTAGTCAAGTTAGAAACCTTCAAGCCAAACGTGAAGGCAATAAATGCTTGTACTTTCAATCAGCTGACCAGATTGTACCTCTTTACTCCACTCCGACCTTTTTCACTGCACTCACTGTTAACTTAACCGCAGACAGCAACCAAAAATTACCGCACAGAACACAACATTAACACATGACATTGACGTTGTTTTTGTGTTTTGATTTGTTGCCTGCTTTAACTTGGGCGATTTTGCGTTTCGTACAGTGAGACACGTGTCGGCTTCAGGTTTCATGGACCACAAAACTGTGGGGACCATCTTGGGAACACCCGCCAAGAACTGGTCGAATAGGATCTCGACCCGTCACACCTAAATAGGACTGTCCTACCACCGGTTCTCTCTATCTTTGAGGAGAGAGTAAGCAGGACACACACAGCCACAGGTGCCGGCGGCTGAACAATATCACAGACTTCACGCGCGCCTGTTTCGTGGTCCCCACTTAGTGGTGGGCCCCACATTCCCCTCCCCCCGTTCATCTCTCACCGACGTAGCTCTCCTAGTCCTACTTCTACTACTAACTATTTAGTTTGAAAATTTTCGCATTCAGATTTGGAAAATACAATTTTACCCCTACAGACTCGAGGATTTGTACATCTAAAACTTTAATGAGACAAGTTTTATGATTAACATAACATAATAATGCGTATACAAAGTCGTGATTTCTTCATTATTTTATAATAATTAATGTGATATAAACACGTTAACAATACATATGGATTTGAATCTCGAGTCTAGGTTTAGAGTTGAAAAAGTCTGACGATCCTAGATTTGATTCATTAGCATGCTTGAAGTTGAGTTTTGGATATAATATTATCAATAAAATGTCACGATCATATTGGGATAAATACAGTACATTTATTTCCTATTTTATGTGTTGATAGAGATTACTAATGGTAAATTTTTAAGCTCAACACTTGGTTTTGTCTTTCTCCTTTAATTTGATGGATTAGACAAGGGAAGATGAGAGTAGGGTTTCATTTCTTTATTATTATTATTAGTAGGTAATGACAAGAAAGCTTGACTTATTTATTAGGCAACTTTTTTTTGTTTTGTTTTTTATATATATTTTATTTCCCGAATTTTTGTTAGATATTTAGAAGTAAAATTACAATTCTACCACCAAAACTCAAAGTTTTGACCTAGTCTTGACATTAAGAATAAATGTTATTTATTGGGATTCGTTGATTGGATTTTCTTTCTATCTATATGAATAGGACCTTTATTTTTTTGCATGTGCAGAAATCACAAGGCAACAATTCTGTCTCTTTTTTCTAGTAGAAAACCAATTAGGTCTTTTGGGGTGTTATCTCATAAACATATTATTGACTTGGTGCAACCATTAGAAAATTTGTGGTTCAAAATGAGCAGAACCACTTAGAAATATTTTGACTAGAATCAATAATTCTTCAATATATAGTAGTACCCCATCGTCAATATATGCGGCGTGTACACATATTGTGAATTTTGTGTCTACTCCATCAAAAGACTTTCACAAGAATTAATAATTTTTTAGAAAATAACATATATATATAACGTGCAAACACGCTCTGATTATGTATCTGTCTCATCAAAAGTATTTCTAAGTGGTTGTATACTTTTGTCTATAAACGATAATTATCAATATATATGACGTGCACACATATATTGTCAATTGTGTGTCTACTCCATCAAAGACTTTCACAAGAACTAATAATTCTATAGTACATAGCATATATATAGCGTGCAAATATGTTGTATGTATCTGTCTCATCAAAGATTTTCTCGAGAACTAAACTGACAACTCTTAATTTTATCCATAATCGTACATTAATATAGAGATAATCATCAATATATACGACGTGCACACATATAATGAATTGTGTGTCTACTCTATCGAAGACTTTCATAAAAACTAATAATTATTTGATACATATATATATCGGGCAAATACGTTGTAATTATATGTGTCTATGTCATCAAAAGTTTTCTCGAGAACTAAACCGACAACTATGATTTTATCCATAACCCTACATTAATATAGAGGTGTGAGTTGTTGGGTGAGTGGTATAAAATTAAATTAGAAAGAAGTGATAATGTTTGTTTGAAGGATGGATAAAGAAAGAAAGAAAGAGATGAAGTAGTGATGATGATCATCTTGAAAAAGATTTCAGAGGAAGATAAAAGGAATCTTGAAACTTTCACTTTGATTGATTGTAGATGGCAGTGAGCTAGGGAAGGTAAGTTTTTTTGGTCCCCTCCCTTTCTTAAACATTTATAGCCCACCTGCCTTTCGCCTCTGCCCTGCTCTCATTTCAATTTCCTATTACTTTGCCTTGTGTTTTTACCTTTTCAAGCTCAGGCTCTGAATCGGGATGCTGTTTCGCCACCGTGGTCCCCTTCCATTATCTTCTGTAGTACATTGTCACTTGATTGAAGGGCACTGGACCCAATTCTAATAAAATCATGTAAGAACCAACACCCCTCCCTTCTCTTGGGTAACTACATTTTACTATTACAGTTGTTCACTGGGTCAGTTTCTGTCGTGTACAAATTACACATTTGGTGTAGGAATATTCTCAAGGTTTTTTATTTGGTAGGCCTAATAAGAATAAGGACCTTTTGTTTGTTCATGGACTGGGTTCGACCTTCACCATGTGTTGGTTTTGGCCCAACATTAGTTTGCCTGGCCCCAAATTGCACCTCTATTCCATGTTGATTTTTAGGGATTGGTTTCTTTTGCACCTATAAGCACTCGGGGTCAATTTACGCGTACCTCTCACTTAAATCGCAGATGCTCAAATAAGAAATCGAACTTGAGATCGTATGCCTATCCATACTATCTCCAATTCGCTCTAACTGTCTAAACAACAATCTCACCAAATCATTATTTCAACATGATGATATGGTGAGACTGCAGTGTGTAAGTATTAGTTATAGTTTCAATATTTGCTTGTTCAAGGATTGAGATGTGCTTCTGTTACCAAAGTTAGACATGAATACTTGGTCATTTCATTTACAAGGTAAAACACAACCTTTTTCCCCATCTTGTGAACTAAATTACAAGGATCTTCAAGAGATGTAATTTCTTCCAATTTATGGACTAATCTGAGTACAAAATCTTTCTCAAGATGAAAAGATTTTACATATCATGCAAGAGTGAGTATACAGAAGTGGTTACCACAGAAGGCCTGAACAAATGAATAATGGGATTAAGGTAAAGTGGGTGAAAGAGAAGGTTTTGTGACTTTGAACTCGCCGCAGTCGCTTATGTACACAGTTTTAAGAGGTCGATTCCAAATTGTGCGAGCTTGCTGAGCTCTTTTGTCTCCGAGAAACCCCGCCAGATCATTGTATTGCTGGATTCTTTCGGATGGTTTGTATGTTGGAATGGAAGCAATGGCCGTGACAATATCCAACCCTGGAAAATTCGAATGAGAGGTGAACAAAGTGCTTAATAATGAAACTGCATACCATATATGCAGAATCTACAAAGTGTATTCAATGCATTGGCCTCTGAAATGAATGCAGACATTTTCAATTCATGAAAAACAGGCTGCAAACAAATGGATCCAAAGAAACATCAGTTGAGTGTTATCTTGAAAAATGCAGAGGCTTTAACCTCATGCAGCATCACTAGATTGCAAATTGATGTGAATTAGCAAAGCTAAACAGAGTCAATTCATGTAAAAGAATAGAGGTAAACGCTAAAGATTACTAGAATCATGTGCTTGGTCTAACAGATTCACCACAGAAACATCGAGTTTTTCCAACGCACAGATTGCGTTGCAATAATGTCAATACAGACACTGTATACCGACGCCATGTCCAGTGTTGGAGGAATTCAATCAACCAAACGGTGGTGAACAGATACAAAAAAATGAAATACAATTCACTTTTTAATCAGGAGAACTTGATTCAATCAATCCTTTGAAAATGACTTAAATTTTGAACAAATAACTCAAACATTTCCAAGCACTAAACCTCATTATCAACATCACAATTTCACAAACAAAAATTAGCCCACAAAAAACACAATCAGAAACCATTACTTCAATCAAAAACTGACCTTCAAGCACCACCCCAAAGACAATGTTCTTGCTATCCAACTGAGGGCAAGGACCAGGCCCTGTAGTGATCAAGAACTCAACATTTCTGTAGTCAGGATCCAGCTTTATCTCTTCCTCATCATCATTCTCAGACAAACACAGAGAAACAACGCCAGCTCTTGAATGCCTCAACATGAACGCCTTAGACTCCACAGTCTCAGTGTTTCGAGCCAAAAACTCCAATGGCGGGTGTACTTCACCTGTCAAAAGTACCTATTTATATTAATAAAAACTAAATTAAAACATATAATGGTTGTGGGAGAGTACCTTTGGTTTCTCTGCGGCCCTGGCGTCCGGCCAAAAAGTACTGACCGGGAAAGATTTTGTGGACAAGGGTGTTTTTGTAAGTGGAAGAAGTAATCATAGACTTGAAGTTGGAAACGGTAATGGGGACTTGGTGGCCATAGAGGCCGATGACGAGGCGGCCTAAAGGGGTGGAGTCAGTGCAGAGAGAGTCACGTTCAGGGCGGAAGAAGGTGGGGCAGAGGGAGAAGTCCATGAAGATACGGTCGGTGATGGTGGTGTCAATGGGTGGTTGTGGAGGAAGAGAGAGGGAGGAGGAGGAGAGCAGGAGGAGGGAACGGCGGGAGAGTGTGGCTGCCGGAGAGAGGAGAGATGGCGGTGACGGTGGTGGAGTGAAGGAGGCCATGAGACATGGCGGGTTTGGTCTGGTTTGAGAGATAAGTTTTATCGGTGGAGTTTGGGAAACGGAGGGAAGTAGGGCCTTCCTAATTGGCCTAAAATCTAGATGGATAAACATAAATTATTCATTTTATTTATTTATGGGGAATAAATATATGAGAATGTGCATATAATAGTAAATGGAAGGGTACAAAATGATATTTGGTTTTTGATATAATTTATTCCAAGTATTATTTAATATAATTATATTAATATATTAAAATAGAACCCATCAAATATTTTTTGTTTAACCAAGGTGCCTGATGTCCAGAGAGATTAGCGCATCAACCCACCGTCATGATCTCCAACTTAAATTACAGATGTTCAAATAGGAAAAATAGGAAATCGAACTTCAAAGTCCTATTTTGGATTATCGATCGATGCTCCTATTGAAAAATTGTTATGGTAATTTGTCTTTTGGTAATTTTCTTGGCGTCTCCTAAGATTTCTCTTAATTTTAAAAGCATCTCTAATATTCTGAAAATTATCACCAACCTCCTCTTGTAAGTATCAGCCATCCCCTTTTTCTCTATTGCAGGAGCTTAATGAAACTAAAACTTAATGTCTATTTATATAAGAAAAGAGATGAGCTTATATGGTGCTGCCATATATAGCAAACAAAATAAAGCATTATTTGGGAAACAAGGCCTGCATATTGCATACACCAAGAAAGTACAGACGTTTATATTTTCTTTTTATATGCGTATAATATAAGTTGAAAAATATATAACAAATTAAGATAGTCATGAGAAGAGCTACCTCTGTAACAATGGAAATTATATATATATCAAACAAACATATATAAAAGAGCTTTAATTAATTTCCTAACCTCTAAAATCTTCTGTCATCTATCAATTAAAAGTGATGATCTCCTTTGAATCTTGGACGTTCCCAATAGAGGACGAGGGATCAAGAAGAGAGGATTGAGAAGAGAAGTCTTCATGAGAAGCAATCACATTCACATGCAAAGAACACAGATTCCATGGCTGTTTCTTGGTGAATGAAACGTTCTTATGAAGAGAACAAGCGGCCGCCCCAACATTTCTTTTCAGCTTGTGCAACGCACAGCTGCAGTTGCTATGATACGGCCGCCGCTCGATCTCTGTGTGATCACACGATAAACTTCCCACAAACACACACCCTAGCACCATTGTCGCTGCTTGGTCTACCATTAATTTTTAATAATCAATTCAACTTCTCTTCCTTCTTCTCTCAAAACCCTTTTTTCTATGTCCGAGTGTTTATATAGAGAAAGATGGCGATGTTTCTCGAGAAAATATTAGTGGGAAAAGTCGTTACGCAATGAAGAAAACGAACGAACGATTCTACCTAAGGATTGATTGTGCCAAAGGCTTGTTTTGGATTGTAGTGTCTTGGCTTGACTTATAATTGGACGTTTTAGCTAGGGTTAGTTTCAGCATTGTTTGTAACGTAGAGGTCTTTTCTGACTAAATTGTTTGAATGAATTTTCAGCAACTGATAATAATGGTGTAATAATATTAGGTGCGTGAGTGATTGAGTATGAATTCAAGTTTTAGTTCTTAAGAATGGACCTTTAAATTGTCAATTAATCGAGTAAGTTAATCATTGGGGTCCTATGGAAGTTATATATATATATATATATATATATATATAGTTGCCAAGAGAGACTTGGAAATTGAAGGTAGTGGCTTGGCTTGGCTTTAGTCTTTAGTCTTTAGAATATGTGTTTATATATTCACAATTTGTTTGATCTTTAACTCTAAGTAAATTTTAATTGAAGCAGGATTGCCAATTGATTTTATTATAACATAGTGTGTGGCATGGATATGCATTTTCTATGCAATGAAAGATCTTCATCTAGATCATCGAATTACTTGCAATGTGGACAACCATATTTTTTGCAACTTAAAATTAATCAATCAATTAATTAATTAAATCGTGCATAAACATGTGAAGCATATTTATAATTTAAATATAATATATGCTTTCAATTAGATTTTCACTTAAGTAACATCGGATTTATGTTATATAATCTCCACGAGGAAAGATATATAACAATATCAATTTTTCCTTAAGGAAAAAAATCTGTTTCTTAATAGTTTGAAACCATTTTCAGGTTTCTAAGCAATTGTTAATAATAATGAAAAAAAACAAAACGTAACTTATAACATATTAATTTTTAGATTATAATATATACACTTGTATATATGTATATAATTAATGCATAATCCAGATCATGACCTTCTGTATATAATATTAATGATATTTGTTTTACCATTTACTATAATATTAATGATGATCATACATATATAATATATATTGGCTGTTAGATTACTGTTGAATCAATAGCCAAGAAGACACAGATTATCCAAGAGATCATAGAACTTTAATCTTGAAGATCAAATGGAGACTATGGCTGCAGAGATATAGAAACAATTGAGTAATGACATAAATAGATCATCATTTATTTACTCTGGATAATTGAGCATTTAGAAGCTGCTATAGACAAACGCTGATCTCTCCATGCCTCGACTTTTTTAGGGAATGAAACATGCGTTTTCTGAGAACAAGCGGCGGAGAATCCACCATTGAGCTTGTGCAGCGCACAACTACAGTTGCGATGATAAGGCCTTCGCTCGATGCTTGTATCATCCAACAATAAGCTTCCATGAAACAAACCCTTAAGCATCATCTCAGTTGCTCCAATGGCGCCCATATTTTGCCCCCCACTGGCTTCTTCTAAATGTCTATGTGTTGGGGTGTATGCTTATGGGTTTGTGTGTTTCGTTTTGCATGGAAGCTGAAGAATTTATATAGAGAGAGGAGTTGAGAAAATTATTAATTTATTTGTTAATTTAAAGGGATTTATTAATTAAAATATTAGTGTCTAAAGTAGTTGTGTTAGAATTTTAATTAATTAAAATTTATTGCCCTAAAATTACTATTTCGCCCTTCATTTATATATATATATATCAAAAAAAAATTAAACTGTCGAGTAGGTTTTAGCAATTATCCACAACAGTTACTTTAAATGGGGAATAGTTACAAGTCCCCAATACATGCAAACATAATTATTCTGATTCCCAAAAAGCATTGTTTTGAGAATTGCAATACATTGGAAGAGTCTGTAACTTTTGAAGAATACAACAACAACAAAATTGTTATGGCTGGAGGTTAGTGGTTAAATTATTTTATTTCCACAAATTTCCATGAATATATGAATATTATATGAATAATGATACGAATATATACATGTTGATCTCGAGTGATTTATATTGCTGGTTTTTAGCAAATTATACAATGTAATTAATTTGGCGACAAATAAGGGGTTGTTTATATATTAAAATATTTTTTATTTTAATAAATTAATTGTTCATGATCTCTTGAGTTAGCTAGAAGCGTGAAATAGTTCCTAAAATGAGGGCGTGACTAATTTAAAATTTTTTCATTATAATTAATATTTTCAACAGATAAGATTAAATATTTAATTATAGTTTAATTAATTTCAAACTACATATCTTTGGCACGAAATAAATTAGAGTTCAAATTTTCAAGGAGAATCGAGTGAAATCAGTGAGAGATGGATGCAGTAAAATATAGAAAAGAAACTACAATATAAGAACAAGAAATCATATATACTCTTATTGAGTTCCTTGATATTATAAAGTTCAATTAATATATAGCTCTAATTAATTATAACAAGTAATGTTAAATATAATTAACAATGTTGTCCAAGGCATAACGGATTCCAATTATTATTATTTTTTTTTTTTTGCTTTGGTGAATTCATAAACAGTAATTCTTTAGGAGAATATTGGAATGAATGACTGTTTTCTATAATATATAAAATGAAGAATCTGAATTTAAATAATGATCGGATCCTTAGAATTCGCAATCTCGACAAGACAAACAAGATTTGTCCAATTTTTAAAGCCAACTTCAAGAACTAATAACTCCAATATCCTTAATTTCCACTGATATATCGGATCCATTTAACTAATAACTGTTTACATTATTCTTTTAATTTGTAAATCACTTTAATAAAAAATGGCAATTTAGTTAATTAAGTAATTAATTTTTTTGTTTTCTCCTAGAAACAATGGGTAATTAATTAGTGGCTTATTATAGAGCCTCGTTTAATCCGGAGGAATTTCTTTAAACTGTGGTATGTAGGGCTTCCAAATAGTCACTAAAATCAACCGTTTTCACCGAAGGAATATTTTCTAAGTCTCTTTTGGGGCAATTAGATATACATATACTTTAGTTTTGCTTATATATATATATATTACTTGTTTAGTGAGAGTTAAGTTGATTGTGAGATTGGAACTTCCCTTATATATACATATAATTTAGTTTTTCTTCGCATAAATTAGATAAACTCATTGCTATTGAAACGTTATTTAATTTTCGTAATAATAATCTAAAAATTCATATCATATTAAGAGGAATTAAGATCTTTTTTTGATCTTTCACCAATCTCGTGACACACACACATATATATAAATAATTGAAATTTGTTTTTTTTTTCTTAAGTAATATGAAAATCAAGAGACGATATTGATCGAAGCTTTTGAGGAAAGAAATAAGGCAATTCCCACAAAACCAAGGAATTAAGTTAATAGTTTCTTTCAAAACCTGTTCTTCCTTGTAAGCAGTTCCTTGTTCCAATGAATAACTTTGATTTTGTAGAATAATAGGTCAAGTAATTAAGAAAGTTAAGGCTGAAACTTATATTCTCTAAAGTTGGATTTGCATTGTTATTATCACTTATCAAACAAAACTAAGTAGAATACAAAAGGGTATTGGCCTTGTTGGGTTATGATTTTTTTATTATTGAAATATTCCTTGAAGCCTCACTTTCAATAACTACGTATTGGTCTAAGATGCTGTAGCCGTGTATAACTAACTTCATTTGTCTCTTTGTTGAGCCTTGAGGGTCAATTAACTTGATTGCTTTTTTCTAATTATAACGAATTGATACCAATTAAGTAACTAGAAAACAATGGGGAGAATTACTATTATCTCCTCCTTTTTTATCATCGATTTTATTTTATTTTTAATCTTGCATATGTAGAAGTGGTTGTACACCATGTTTTGGTTAATGATTTTTCGTGATTTAT